CAGCCCAAAGAAATCTGAGGAGTCTCTTTTAAAATATGATCCAACTGTTTAAATTATTGAACCCCGTCATGACCGAGAAAAGAATTCGACCTCCTGGGCTTATCCAAGGTTGTATCAAGTCTTCCTTGGCTATTTAATGGCTCATGGCTGGTAAAATCTGTCATTAACTCCTTTTTCATTGTCCATATTTTATTGCCTTCTTTAAACATATCCGTTGCCTTAATTTGGAAATCCAAAGGTCCGCCGCTTTTGGGTTCGGCGTGCTTCTTGATTCTTTAATATCTTGACTTCTTGATTCCGTGGACATTCATTCCCTCCAAAAGCTTTTCACCTTTGTTACCTTCTTCTGACATCTCTTCTTTGCCTTCTTGCAACGCCAATGGCTGCCCCAATCTCCCCACTGTTTCGTGAACGACGCTNACCTTCTTCTAACATCTATTCTTTGCCTTCTTGCAACGCCAATGGCTGCCCCAATCTCCCCACTGTTTCGTGAACGACGCTCCTATGGAATTGAGTAGGAGTGGCAGACCTGTTACTTAGTGCCTTCGTCATTGTCATCCTTAGACTTAGTCGGGATAAAGAAGAAATTCTTTCTTGACGTGGAACTAGTTTTGCGAGCCCCATCTTCTGACGAGCCTTGCAATTATCTCCCTCGAGGGGAGACTTGTTTTTTTGAGGGGGCTTTGGACATGGGGCTGTGTCTCCCCATTCATCCCGCTGTTGGTTACATCTTGGCCTATTGTGGGTTATGTCCTTCTCGTTTCTCTCCCAAGTGGTGGGCCATCATGATCAGTTTCTTTCAATTTTGGCGCTTGCATGGTGATGGCAAGTTCCCCACTGTGAGAGAATTTTTCTACTTTTTCGACGTCGAGGAGGATGAGGTCCCGAGCTTTGTCTGCTTTCGGTGGAGGCACTTCAAGTTGCGGCGTCTGGTGTTTGACCTTTTTTCTCCTCCTGAGGGATGAGTCAGTCGTTTCTTTTATATAATTGGGGATTCTCAGAGATCCATAGAGCTGCACTACAGAGAGTGCAGAGTTCCCAGATCCTGGAGGAGCTACTCTTATTCGGGTAAGTATGTCGGTAACCTGTATTTGTTCGGGTCTTTTGATGTAGTCTCCTTATCATAGGAATTAATTTGGTTGGCAGGTCCTCCTGAATTGGATCTGTTAGAGGAGATGCGAATTGATCAGATGATAGAAGTTGAGCCTGTGTCCTATTCTGAGTTGGTGACCTTAGATAACTTGTTTCTGTTCAGTGTTGCCGGTGCCACTATGTACTTTGTTTCTTACCCAGATTATGTTGGTTCCTATCCTTCTGAATCTGATGAGGTTGAGGACATTGGTACTTCCTCTAGGAAACGCAAAAGTGGCCATGCTAGTGACTCCTCTTCTTCATCTGGATCTTCTCTGGCAGCCATACTGTTCTCCTCATCTGGACAAAGACTTATAAATTTTTTGAAAGAAGCCAAGAAGAAAAGGGATGAGCTCAAAGAGGAAAATATCTGCTTGAAGGAGGAAGTTTCAGAGCTCCGGAGACGCTTAAAGGGCGAATAAGAACTGAGAATATCTCTTGTAATCTCCTTTGTTTTGTTTTTTTTTTGTGCTGGTGCTGGATATATGAACCTCTGTTCTTATTTGATGGCTACTGGTTCTTCTGTAGACTCTTTAACTTGTAATCTTGAATCTAGTAATATGTCTATATTCACGGGTTTCAGGACTCTTTTGAGTGAATTGGTAGGGTAAGCTGTGAGCTACAGAGTTCGTTTTATGAATCGAAAAGTTCATCCTGAGCTATAGGGCTCTTTTTATGCACTGAACTGTTCAAAGTGAGCTATAGAGCTCTATTTACGAACTAAAAAGTTCATCTTTATTTTATGAGCTGAGTAGCTCATCTTTGTTTTATGAGCTGAAAGACTCACCTTTATTTTGTGAGTTAAAGAGCTTATATTTATTTTATGAACTGAAGAGTTCATCTTATCTTTATGAGATAGAAAGCTCATCTCAATTTTATGAACTGGAAAGTTCATCTCAATTTTATGAGCTGAAGAACTCATCTTTATTTTATGAGCTGAAAAGTTCATCTTATCTTTATGAGCTGAAGAGCTTATCTTTATTTTATGAGTTGAAGAGCTCATCTTATCTTTATGAGCTAAAAAACTCATCTCAATTTTATGAGCTGAAGAGCTCATATTTATTTTATGAGCTGAAAAGCTCATCTTATCTTTATGAGCTGAAAAACTCATCTCAATTTTATGAGCTGAAGAGCTCATATTTATTTTATGAGCTGAAAAACTCATTTTATCTTTATGAGCTGAAAAACTCATTTCAATTTTATGAGTTGAAGAGCCCATCTTTATTTTATGAGTTGAAGAGCTCATCTTGGTTTCATAAGCTGGAGAGCTCATCTTTGAGCTGGAAGCGTTTTTTATTTTTACAGGCATATACAAGGGAGGGTCAAAAGCTCTCAGTTTAATTGAAAGAATGATTCTATTATAGAAAAACTTACTGAAAAAATCTCTTAAGGTGTTCTGCATTCCAAGAATGAGGCAGGATTTTTCCTTCCTCAGTTTGCAGCTCATAGTTCCCGGGCGTGATAACCCTTGATATGATATAAGGACCTTCCCAGTTTGGGCCTAGTTTCCCATGGGAAGGGTCTTTCCTTGCAAGAAGAAGCTTTCTAAGCACTAGATTCCCTACCTTGTAACTCTTATGTTTTACTTTCTTGTTGTAGTACCTGACTGTCTTCCTCTGACAATGTTTTATGCGTTGTAAGGCCTCGTCTCTCTTCTCATCCAATAGATCGAGGTTGAGTAGCAGCGCCTCATCATTATGCCTTGCGTCGCTAAACTCAGTTTTGGGAGACGGGAGCCCTATATCCACAGGAGCTACTGTTTCAATTCTGAAAGCCAATACAAACGGAGTTTCTCGAGTGGTTGTCTTGGCTGTGGTTCTGTAAGCCCATAACAACTCAGGGAGCTGTTCTACCCATTTTCTTTTCAGTGCTTCCAGCTTAGTTTTCAAGGCTGTCTTTATTGTTCGAATGGTGACCTTTGCCTGTTCGTTGGATTGGGGATGAACTAGGGCCAAAAAGAAATTTCTTATCCCCACCTCGGCACAAAATTTCTTGAACTTAGGGTTATTGAACTGCTTCCCATTATCTGAAACCACTGTCCTTGGAATCCCAAACCTGCAGATTATCTAATTTTAGACAAAATTTTGGACTTTTTGTTCTGTGATTGTTGTCAAAAGCTCTGCCTCTGCCCATTTAGTGAAGTAGTCCACCCCAATAATGGCAAACTTGCATTGTTTAACCCCCGTAGGGAGGGGCCAAGTATATCTAAATCTCACTGTTGAAAAGGCCAGGGGCTCACCACCGATGTTAAGAGCTCTGGTGGATAGTGGGGAATGTTGGCGTGTATTTGGCAAGGTTTACATCTTTTGACCAGATATGCTGCATCTTTGAGCATAGTGGGCCAATAGTACCCCTGTCTCAATGTTTTTCCTGCGATGGCCCGAGCTCCGATATGATTGCCGCAGACTCCTTTATGGACTTCTCTGAGTATGTAGTTAGCATCTTCATCTCCCACATATTTGAGTAGAGATGTCAAAAATCTTCGTTTGTATAGGTTTCCCTACAAGATAGAAAATCTGGCTGACCTGACTCTTAGTTTCGCAGCTTCTTTGGGATCTTTCGGCAAAGTCCAAATTTGAAGATACCCTCTGACGGGGGTCCATCTAGCTCTGTGGTGTTTGTACAGGCAAAACTTCTTCATCTTCCATGCATACAGATGGTTCTGCTAAATGTTCCACTGGAATTAACCTATCCAAATTCTCCTGCGAAGTTGTTGCCAACCTTGCCAAGACGTCTGCTCTTGAATTTTCGGCTCTAAGAACGTGCTTGAACTTAACTTGCACAAACTTCTTGATCAATTCCTGTACCTTCCTGAGGTAGAGAACCATTTTCTCACCCTTGGCCTCGTATGACTCCTCTATTTGTTTCAAGACAAGTTGGGAATCGCTGCTAATCTCCAACTACTCTGCCTCTATTGAATGAGTAAGGTTGAGCCCAACAATGACAGCTTCATATTCTGCCTTTTTGTTTGAAGCCTTAAATCCAAACTTGAGGGCATATTCTACATCTATTTCATCTGGAGAGGTCAGGATCAATCCTGTGCCGCTTCCTTGGGCATTGGCAGCTCCGTCTACCAAAATTTTCCATACAGGAAGGTCGGGTATTAGCAGTGTGGCTTTCGCAGGTGTTACTTCAGAGAATTCTACGATGAAATCTGCCAATATTAATGGATATTTTTTTTTTGCTTGAGGTATTTATTAGATGGAGATAGAGTGAATTGAAAATATGGTAGTTGAATTGATAATTATGTTGTGTTATTGGATGAAGTGGTTTTAGAGGTGATAATTCGAGAATATTATAAATAAACAAGATTTTATTTATTTAATTTATTGCTTAAAGATTGTAAATTTTAATGAATTTTGTTAGTATTTTTTTTTCATAGGCATTTGTATATATGATGTTATTTTGGAGAGTTTTTATATATTTTTATGATAGATCTATTAATATGAAAGATATAATCGATAATATATTTTGAGTCATTTTAAAAGAATAATTTGTATGAATATTTTTAGGTAATTTTTTTTGAATTTAGATAATTGTTCAAAAAAAAATTTGTTTGTTGTATAGTACCTTCAGCACGATTAATGACTAATTAATTTATATAATATCTCTTTTCTTATTTATTTAAATATTATTAATTAATTATACTACTTGACAATATTGAAGTAATATGGTTATTGCAATGAATATTTTTTTTCTTTGGTCCCAAATTACGTCGTTATAATATTACTATTTGTATCCCATTGGGCCCACCTTAACTGGTAGCCAAATTCAAACCGTCAGATCAGAATACTATTTATTAATGTTTAGCCAATCCATTCCGTTAAACTACATCCCACACACACAACACACGTGACACGTAGACGTATTCTCTCTCTCTCTCGCTCTCTCTCGGCTCTGAAACTCCTTTTCTCTCTCCAAAATTACCTAATGAAAAGCAACGCTCGTTCGATTCTCATGCTGCAAAACCCTAACCCCAACCCTAACTCTAACTATCCAGACAGCCAGTCACAGTGAATTATCCCACTTCTCGCAATGGACGCTGAGAGGTTCGAACTCTCAAACCCTAGAATTCTTAATAAGCCAATGGCGGACGACGTCGTGGCACAAAAGCCTGCACTACCGCAAGTTGTCGATCGATTCAAGGCCATGGTGAAGGAGAGAGAAGAGGAAATTGGGATTTTGAATCCAAACGACGACGTCTCTGGGCTGAGTACCGATGAAATTGTGCGGCTCTATGAGATGGTGCTATCAGAATTGACGTTTAATTCGAAGCCCATTATTACAGACTTAACAATTATTGCTGGTGAGCAGAGAGAGCATGCTGAGAGCATTGCCGATGCTATTTGTGCTCGAATTCTCGAGGTAGGGGCGTAAATTTGAAGAATTTTGAATACTCGGAATTGGGTTTTTTTTTTTTAATATTAGATTAATCTAAGAAGTTGTATAGGAACTGACATTTCAAATTTTGTTGTATATTTTTGAATATGATTTTGATTTCATTTAGCATGTTGGAGTTGCAGAAGTGTTGAACTTACAGTATGTTTATGCCTGGATCTAAATATTTATCTCACTTTTTCTCTCCGGGGAGGAGAATTTCTTCGCTGAAGATTTTGTAGGATGTATTCTTTCTGGATCCTCTAGTCTTGATTTTTTTTTTGGGTACCCAAAACATTTTCTATGAATTGGGTAACATAGTGGGTGAATTTGATTGTTTTTCTCATTCGATATTATTGTATGTATGCACTTTCATTGTTTGATTATATTGTATTGTTAGGCCCCAGTTGAGCAAAAACTGCCTTCTTTATATCTGCTGGATAGTATTGTCAAGAATATTGGCAGGGTGTATGCCAGATACTTCTCTGTCCATTTGCCTGAGGTGAGTGGAAAATATATCCATTGCTATTTACTCCTAGTTAGATATAAGTTTCTGTTTTTACGATTCTAGTATGCCTTTCGTTTCTCATTTTGCTTATATTTATATATTGCCAAGGTTTTCTGTGAGGCATACAGGCAAGTGCACCCTAATCTTCATCCTGCTATGCGCCACCTCTTTGGGACATGGTCAGCGGTTTTCCCCTCATCAGTACTTCGCAAAATTGAGAGTCAACTGCAGTTTTCCCCATCAGTAAATTCTCAATCTTCTAGTTTGACTGCCTTGAGGACTGCTGAATCTCCACGACCCACTCATGGCATACATGTCAATCCAAAATACTTGGAAGCAAGACGTCAGTTTGAACATGCAGATAGCGTAAGCTTTTCGATTAAATCCTTGTCCCTTTCTCTCTCCCCATCACCTTTCCTGTTGGGGATATTTGAGGAATCAAATACGGATGGTGTAAGCTTTCCAATGGATTCTCACTTTAACGGATTAACCCTCTCTGTGGTCAGACAGCAGTTTACTAGTGCAACCTTATAACAGGACATCTGTAGATCAGTGAATCTGATGTCTGTTGTATAAGCTGTCTTGTTGAACTAGTTCCACATCTGTCCTGGCAAATACTGAATGAAATTCTTCGTAGAACTTTTTAATTGTTTCTTTAATTATTCATTTTCTGTGGTTCAATAGCTATTGAAAAATTGACATACTTGTTGAAAATTTGAGATATCATTGGATTGTATGAATGTGGCCAACAATTTTGCATTCTCACCGAAGTGACTGTACGTAAATTTCCAGAATTTTTAAAAGTCAGATGCCAAGGGATAGTACGGATATGGTTAACAGTCTTGAATTCTCTTCCAAAGAGCCTGTACTTTTGCCAACTATTAAATAGTCAAATCTGATATTTGGAGGTTAAAACTAAATAATGATGTCTAAACGATATAGGTAGTGTGACTAGATTTCCAAAAGTAACTATGCATGTTTTGGCCAGGGGAAGTGGGGTCATGAGCCATGATATGTGGAATTGCTCTTGGCTTATTATTGGTTTTCTGCATTTGACACTTTGGTATCTTGTTTTTAGTTTGTAAAGATGGTTTGTTAGCAACAAAAATTTGCTCCATAGCCTGTTTGATGTCTCCCGTCCATGTAGTACGGGGTTTTAAAGCCTTATCACTGGTTATTTTTGGGAGCCTAATACCCTTTGGTATTGACATCTGAACAAATATAGAAGGAATTCTCTTATAGGACTAAGACTCACAAGTTGGTGACCTATTCAGAAGGAATTCTCTTATAGGACTAAGATTCACAAGTTGGTGACCTACTTTAATCAATCCTACTTTTGATATTGCAAATGTGATATAACTTACTGGGATGCATTGTTATTAAATTTGGAAATATTGTCTATTTTCTCAGAGATTTAATGCAACGTTACAAATTGTAATATGTTACCCTTTTGGTTTCAGACTAATATTCAAGTCGTGGAAATTGATATTCATGATTTCTGAGATGTTCATATCTGACAGGCAGCACACCAAATCGAGATGCCTTGATCTTGTATTACATTTAACTTTCTTCTGTTTGTACTATGAGATTGTTAACCATGTGGTTCACAATTCTATGCATGCTAAATCGGTGCTGTACTGGTTGACCTAGTTACAGCCTACCATTACGGGTTTTTTTTTTTTTTTTCAATTAAATTTTTTTGCCCATCAGACTCTTTCAGCATATGAATTTCACTAGATTTGTGAGGGCATTGGTTTTGAGCATTTGTTATTTATGTTGAATGGTTTCTTGGAGGAGAAAGAGTGGAGAAAAACCAGTTGAAATTGCCCAAAGGATTCAATTCAATTTGTTGATTTTTGACTCTATTTTTTTTTATTCTGTGTTTTCTTCAAAATCAGTTTACCCATCATATCATAAGCAACTTATTTTTTTATGGTTCCAAGTATTTTCTAGTATGAATATTAGATAATGTCGTCTGTGCTTTTACTTTATTTTTCTTTATTTATTGATTATCCCACTTCCTCTCCCTCTTACGCAGAGGTTGTTTCTTATTGTTCCTCTGTGTCTCTGTACCCATTTGGCGGGGGAGGGTGGGAGAGCATGTAAAGGTTCTTGCTTGGTTCATTCTCCTTCCAAAGTATTTCATCACTACCATTTTCTTCTCTGCTTGCTGTCACACCTATGGGAGTACATACTTCTTCTCTTATTATAGTAATACGATCTGAATCCATGTGTAAAACAACTGCTGAAGGTACAATCCATTTGGAACTCTTGCAGAGTGTTCGACTGCCAAGGGAAACTTCTTCTGCCTTGAAGATGCATGGACAAACACCAGCCATTGGATATGACGAATATGACTCTGGTACTTCAGAGGTCATATCCTCGGAGGTTGGAGTGCAAAGGTTTAACTCAATGGCTCGTGCAGATCGTTCGTCATTTGCCACTGAGGCGGGAAATCTGCTTCCATCTTCAGTTGCTAAAACCGCGCAGTCCTCTTCTTCTTACGGAATCGGGTATGATCATATGAATTTGCATGCTTTTAAAACCAAGGGTTATTGAAAGGGATTCACCATCTCATTCTAGGTTTGATTATGAACATGGCAGAGTGACAGGCAGAGATGAGGAGGTGAATTACTTGCGGAGGAATCATGGGTCTGATAACACTCGTCGGCCATGGGGAAATTCTGCTGGATATAGTTACAGTAATGGGGTTGAGCTTCAAGGACCTAGAGCTCTAATTGATGCTTATGGAAATGATCAAGTGGAAAAAAAAATTAACCAAATTAACCATAAGCCTCCAAAAGTTGAACGCTTGGATATAAATGGCATTGACAGCAAGGTGGCTACGAAGACATGGAAGAATTCTGAAGAGGAAGAGTTTGATTGGGAAGATATGAGCCCAACTTTGGTAGACCGCAGTCGGGCTAATGATTTATTCTCATCATCGGGTCCACCTCCTGGAAATTTTAGGAATAAACGTGGCTTTGGAGCTCATGTTGCTGCACCTTTGGAGACTGATTTCAGAAGAAGTGACTGGCCTAATCAGGCCCAACTTGCTTTGACTAATGATTCCTTGGTTATTCCTGAAGATGCAATTCCATCGAAGGATGTATTTCTGTCTGTCAGTGTATGGAGTATTCTGTTTCTTTTTTGTCCATTTAGTATGTTCTTTATTCGATTTAGATGAATTCGATTTGGAAAATAGTTATTATGTGGATAGGCATGAATTTATTATTTATCATGCATGACATAGTTTTATCTGTGAGTTCCCCGTTTTCTAGATCTGAAGAAATACTTAATCTGCTTTTCCAAACCTGGCCAGAGCTTTCTTCTTGTAAATATTCTTTACTAAAATTTTAAAAATTTGGTGGGGTTTTTTTCAGCTATTTTAGCTCCCTTTTGTTGTCAACTACATCATACTCCAAAATCCACCCATATAAATGAATTTAATTTTTTCCTTTTGTTTTCTTGTTTTCTAAAGATTTTCAGTTGCACAGACCAACCTAATACTAAACATATATTTTTTTGGTCTTCATTTTTGCACCATGTCTAAGAAAAACGGACAAATTTTGATCAGAGAGGGTATTTACCTTCATTATATGTGTGGAAAGGCTTTGTGCTAAAATATTGAAAATTTGAAAATTTTTCCTGCAGTCTGGCCATGGATTGATCACCAATATTTCTGGAATCCGCAATGAGACATCACAGATTCTAGGTTCTGGTTATCCTCAACAACCCTGGAAATTGCAACGGAATTTCCCTCAGACTTCACAACACAATTTTAATGCCAAAAGAAGTTCAATGAAAAGGGACATTTCTTCATCAGTGGGTGAGCAGAAGCCTCCTTTGATTGGCAGTTTTCCAAAAGCAGATCCACGACTACGTGGGTCTTCAGCTGTTGTACCAAGAATAAGTTCAAGTCTTGACTCTTTGACTCCTGAGGTTCGGGCCGCTGCTATGCCAGCATCAACAGGAGCATGGCCCTCTGTAAATATTCAGATATCCCATCCACTCCCTTTTCAACCTACTCTTCCCCCAGAGAAACAGATTAGGGGTCAGTGTGATTCAATGTATGCTACCAATGCAGTTTTGGATCAAGGTCTAAATAAGTCATTTTTGCCTGAGCAGCAGTTGGATGGTAGTGGAAGCAATGTGTTAAGTAAGCTGCCTCAATTTCTAAACCAACAGCCTGGGCCAATCCCTTTGAATCGGCAGAGCCCAGCACAGTTCTCTCATTTACCGCCACACTTATTAATGTCTCGGGAGGTTCACCAAAATTTGGTTCCACCTGCTGCTTTTTCAACCACTTCTCATTTAGCGGTACCGCAGTTTAATAATAGTTACACCCTGCCAGGGAATGGTGCTTCCAGAAGTAATGTATTACCGAATCCAATTCATGGTGTACAATCGTCTATGCCAATGCTTAATACTCCGAACACATCCTTACATTTTCCTGGGGGAGCCTTACCACCTCTGCCTCCAGGCCCCCCTCCGACTTCATCTCATATGATACCTATATCCCATTATCCAAATCCCATTGCCCCTAACCCTCCTGCTGGGATTGCACTTTCAGGTTTGGTTAGTTCTCTCATGGCCCAAGGTTTAATTTCATTGACAAAACAAGCTCCTGCTCAGGTACACGCCTCGATAACGTTCTTAAACTAACTTACAGCGTTTTAAGGATTTACTTATTTGGGGTATCCCGTGAAAGATTGTTCTAAGCCATGTTCTTTGATGTTTAGGATTCTGTGGGACTCGAGTTTGATCTGGACCTCCTTAAGGTGCGTCACGAGTCTGCAATAACTGCTCTATATGCTGATCTTCCCAGACAATGCACAACATGTGGGCTTCGATTCAAATGTCAAGAGGAACACAGTAGTCATATGGATTGGCATGTGACCAAGAACCGGATGTCAAAAAACCGTAAGCAGAAGCCATCGCGTAAGTGGTTTGTAAGTGTCAGTATGTGGCTCAGGGGTGCAGAGGCATTGGGAACTGATGCAGTTCCCGGGTTTTTACCCCCTGAAAACATTGACGAAAGCAAGGATGATGAAGAAATGGCTGTACCTGCTGATGAGAATCAAAATGTTTGTGCACTTTGTGGAGAGCCTTTTGATGATTTTTATAGTGATGAGACTGAAGAATGGATGTATAGGGGGGCTGTCTACATGAATGCACCCACTGGATCAGCAGCAGGGATGGATAGGTCTCAGTTAGGTCCTATAGTGCATGCTAAATGCAGGTCTGATTCTAGTGCGGTTTCCCCTGAAGATCTGGGCAAAGACGAAGGGGTATGCATTTCTTTTGCTTCTATGATCATTTTGTAAAAGTTATGTCTTGGGTTATTTTTAAATGCAATATTGCTTACTAAAAGAAAATTGATGTGAAAAGCAGAATTGATCTGAATATTTATTGTTGAGTTAGAAACATGTTCTCGAGAATCTGCGTGTGTAGAGTTGCCTCTTAGATCACACAATTTGTCCCTTTACCGTGCACAGAACGCAAATTCGGGAATTAGAGACAAATTTGCGCATTCCAAAAATCAAATCCGGGAATTCAATGTTTACAATCTGGGAATCATACATTTTTGGGATTTACTCCAGAATTTCACATAATTTTAAACTGATTATTGAGTTGGACCTTAGCCCAATTAAAACTTAACTATATCCAAATGTATTGGGCCCCAAGAGAAGGCCCAATTACTTAACGAAAAGGGGAGAAAGCTGTCCTATTTAAAAGCTGCCTTCCATTCCACTTGCTCATGTGCTGCCGGTGTGGGATTGTAGTTATATTTATAGCTGTGTTTTGATTCCACTTGCTGCTAGGCTGCGGATATGGGATCAAGAATTTGCAATAAAATTCTATTGTAATCTTATTTCTTATTTTTGATACTTTTACATNCCCCCCCCCCCCTTCTCTTCTCCTTTTCCCATATCTTCTCGTGATGTATGTTTTAGAACAAATTTGTCAGTAGTATGAACTTCCAAAGCTCTCTCTCACTACTAGGAAAATGTTGAGTCTCATTTGAAATTATTGTAGATGATCTATTATTGAGTAAAATTGAGAAAAAATGGACTGAGAAAAAATCTAATTTCATTAAGGTACACTTATGTTAGCCAAAGGCTGCTAGAGTACAACCATAATAAACAGAGGAGTTTGTATGTGAGAAAGGATTGCATGACCTGTTGATAGCCTCACAAACTAGCTTTATGAAACTTGTCTCATGGAATCCCCCAAAACTCAGCTGTAACGCTGGTAACAATGGCTGCAAGTTTCTGGTCCCCATTCTGAGTAGTGTGTATGTCAGCTAGCTTTAGCTCCATCAACTATAGTGTCTTCAACCATTTCCAATAGTATTCACCGGCCTGTTTCAAGGATGAATCTAGGATTTTATTCTTGTAGAAGGCTAGATATATAGTTGGGGGCGAACCTAATAATTTGAACATATACTCAAAGCTATTTTTATAGCCTATTGAAAGCGATCCTTCAAACCCTTTTTGGGGGGGAAGAGGATTGTCCCTGCCTGTCTCCTAGATCCATCAATACACAAAACATTTATCTTTATTTATCGGAGAGTCATGTATATGTTTGAAAACAGTTGCAGCATCTTTATCGCCGCGGCCGCTACAATTAACTACAACCTTTGCACCATTGGGCAAGGTAGGGCAAAGTTTCTCCAGAAATGCCAGTGCATGAGAGGCCTCCAAGGCTGGAAATATTCCTTCTAATCTGCAGTCTTTCATATGCTGCAGGAAATAGAAAAATCACACTGGATGGTCACATTTTAATGAATCGATAACTCTACAACTCAACAAAGCCTCATCCCAATGTTTTTGGGGTCGGCTTGTCAAATTTTAATGAATAAATATGTAAAATTGCTTCTCTTTCTTGTACTAATAACTACATGTTGTTTGTTTACCATCTAGAGCTTCTTGGTCTGTGACTGTGTAGAAGTCTGCACGCCCAATGTCTATGAGAAAGCTTAGTTCTGGACTAACACCCGGATACTCCAACCTGCGTGTATAAGCAGTTTGTTTTTTTAAGGCAATTCTTACCTCCATAAACGTTGTGTTGTTGTTATTGTCTCCACCCCCAGCCATACCTAGGTGTCCCAAGGTCCCCATGCACCTCTCATACTACCCCTAGAGGTGCAATGAACTAATTGAGCCGAGCACTATGCTATTCGGGCTCAACTCAGTCTTCTGGAGAGATTATAGGGATTTGGGTTGAACTATAAACATCTTATTTAATGTTAGCTTGATATTTTTTTGTTTAAATTGGGGCTCAACTTGACACGATTTGATTGATTGCACGAATTGAGTTCCAACTTAAACTTGGGTTGAAGCTCGTGTTTAAGATCGAGCTCAACTCTTTTCATAAATAAATTCTATTCATATGTAACTGAAACATTTAATATTATATATATAACAGCTAATGTAAATGCATGTATTATGCTGCATTCTACATAAGTATGGTCTTTTGAGGCCTACTCTATCCACCCCATTGCTTCCCAAGGGGCTTGAATGTTGTTCATAATCAATCCAACAACAACAATAAATTAGATAAAGAAATTAATACTAAATAGCATTGCTCATAAATACTTGGGTGCTAATTCTGAGGGTAATTTAAGGGGTAATATAAATAAGCTATAAATTCAGACGTCTTGAGTTTGAATCTTGACAATTCTTTTATGTCAGATTATGAGAGATTTATTCATCATAAATATTCTAGCGTAAATGACATGCCTTTAATCGAACGGAAGAAGAGATTAGCCGAAGTGTGAGTAAGTTGATACGAACACCCCGACCGTTCTACTAAAATAATAATAATAACTGGGTGCTTACCCAACACCAATGGAGTGTGGCCCAACATTCTGACCTTCATCATCCTGCAACAAATAGCTCATGGCTCCATGATAAACACTCACCTCTCCTCTAGCCAAAGTTGCCGAGTGTCTTCCACTATCCAAACCAGTCCCAGCAACCTCAACTCCAATCATTCTCACCTCTTCATGTCTCAAGAACTCATGGAACAAACCCAATGCATTTGAGCCACTCCCTACACAGGCCACCAACACATCTGACTACCCACCCCACTTCTCCGTTGCCTGTTTTCTTGTTTCCTTTCCGATCACCGATTGAAATTCTCACACCATGCTCGGACATGGGTGAGGGCCGACGGCGGTGCCGGCCAAGTAGTAGCTGGTTTCCAAGTTGTTGACCCAGTTCCGGATGGCTTCTGAGGTTGCTTTCTTTGAAACTTCCCTCCACAGATTTTACCTATATCATTAGCATAGATATATATACATGTAAGTTTTATCCCAACAGACATGGTGTAGAGATATAACTTTTACCACTTTTATAGCATAGATATATATTATTTTATTTTTTTTGGGTATCTTAGACAACTCATACAATTAAAGCATAAGAAGCATAGCACCTGCGCACCAAGCAGCTTCATCAAGAGCACATTTGACGATTGTCTCTCCATGTCTATATCACCCATGAATATGGAACACTCCAAAGAGAGTTTAGCAGAGGCAGCGGCGATTGCGATACCATGTTGGCCGGCACCGGTGGCCGCCACGACGAAATTTCGTCCCATTCGTTTGGCGAGCATAGCTTGTGCAATGGCATTGTTGATCTTGTGTGCTCCTCCATGGTTGAGATCTTCTCTCTTTATATAAATTTCAGGTCCTTCTCCATTAATATTCTTGTACTGATTGGTGAGTCTGTGAGCAAAGTATAGTGGAGTTTCCCGTCCTACATAGTCCCTCAGTGCTGTCTTCAGCTCTTCCTATACATGAATTATTGCAATTTAGTGATTCTATTCTAAGTTTGACTAACAAGGATATGAGTGTCACCTGTTAATACGACTCACGAAATTAGATAGTTTGAGAATTATTTAACTATGCAAAGAATTCATCTAAAATAATTATCATCAAATTTTTTATTCTTTTTCCTTATATCTCGTTTCTACTCTCTATCCATGGGTAAGAGCAAAATTATTTGTATATCTATTTTAGTTTAATCCTTTTATTTTATTATAAGCAGGTTAAATGCTAAATAATTTTGAAATTTTAGGGTTTACAACAAGAGTACTAAACTACAATATCAAATAAAAGATTTCAGTATCGTAACTATAACTATTTTAATAACTGTTAATTTTTATGGGTTATTTTATAACAAAAAAGAAATTATTTTTGTGAATAATTTATCATTTTTTGTGGATATTTTTACTACATTTTTGATAATTATTTTTAACACTTTTTTCTTTACAAAAATAATTACTACTTTTGTCAATAATTTACCACATATGTAGATATTTTTATTATATTTGTGGATATGTTACCACCGTAGGGATAATTAATTTCATAATTTTTTAGGTACCACAACAGTGGTAAAATTTAAAACACCCACAAATATGACCGCAAAATTGATAGATGAAGAAAAGATACCAATTTTTTTTTTGTGTTAATGTAGTCAACCACTAAAGAATATATATATATATAGGGTAATTATAAATTTTAATACGATTGTAGTTTCTGTTTATTAATTTTGTATCACAAAATTATAATCATATCATGATAAAATTATAAATAACCCGGTTAAATTTTTTGCTTTGGACCTCAATTTTCATCGAGCCGACACTGTCACGTGCGTGCACGTACACAACCATAAAACCTACCTACCTGGAACTCGTCATCACGAAAGACCAAGTTGAATTCAGCTTCAAGTTTGCTCAGACAAGTGATCAGTGTTTCAGGCACGAACTTCCCTCCAAACCTCCCAAATTTTCGTGTACTAAGTGATTTCGTTTCAGCTTCAAGCAGTCTCTTTGTCAGTGATCTTCTTGTCACCACACCTCTCAAGTCTGCCGCATCCATTGTCGACCTATCGGTGTTTAATACTGAACGAACCACCGCGACACCGCCCTTATCTGGTGGCGGCAATGCAAAGCCCAGTGTTTTGGTAACTGTGGGTGGTCAGATGTGAGAAATTTTCCCCCAGGAAGAAAAACAGTCTGGAGGTTGCATGTCATATTGTGTGTGTGAGAGAGAGAGAGAGAGGCAGGGGTTTTGTGATAGTTTTGAACAAAACTTAGGACTTGAGATTAATGGTGAAACTATAAACGAGTTTCAAGTGGTCCTTCAAAAGCTAGCTTAATTTATTGACACATGAATAAAACATAGTGTATCATTCGAGATTAATGGTGACCGCAAGGGTCCTCCACTTCTGTGGGTGGCTGGAGTGGTTGCACGATAAACACAAGCCCTGTAGTAAATTTCTGTCCCTATCAGAACTTTAACATAAGCCAAATTGGAATAGTCCAATGAGTTCTGACATTTGATGCAAAATGGTTATCTAGACCACGATTATTGTTGTGCAATTTTATCAATGTATGGATGAAATTTTTTAGAGATCGAAAAAGATAAGATGTCACGGTTCTCTTGTTAAATAAAATTGGACCTCCATGAATGCGACTTGGAAATGTTATGAGTCTAAAAATTTAAATGTATCTTAATTACTAAAAAAAGTTTTAAAATTACAGCAATGATTCAATAGGTCATCGACATCAGCAAATCGCACGAATTCCATGCAAGAGTACTGTCATATAACTTATAAGATGTTGAACGGTTTCTCCACCTAACAACTTAAACATTTGAGTCTTGAGGTTGTGACAAGTAATATTTGGTTGGAATTTAGTGATTCGCAACTCCATCAATTGTGCGAGGCTCCAATTGATAATGCATAGATCAAGGTGGACTCGAATCAGGTGGGCCTCCCCTTTTAGATAGGGGTGCAACTTGGGTGGGTTAATTTGAACCCAATTTAGGAAAAACAGAGCTTAGGTTAAAGATTTTAATATTTAGGTTGGGCATGGAAAGAAAAACATCAATTTGAATTGAATTCAGACAGTACCTAGTTTGAAGTCTCGGGTTACCAGGTTCAGCTCGAATATATAAATTGGCTTCAACCCGAAAATACAAATCGAGCTTAACCTGAATTTTAAATTGGGTTTAACCCGAATATATAAATCGAGCTCAAACCAAACATATTTAAAAATAAATATATAAATCAATATAACAATATAACTTACAAGGTAAAACACTAGGGATTAGTCTTCTGGTTCAATGTTATGTTAAGTATTTGGCTATTATGTCTTTATGTTGTAAATTGATTTTTATATTTTAAATACTATGATATTTATGTTAAACATTTGATTGAAGTTGTTGGTTGTTATTTTAGGTGAATATTATGTAGTATGTACTAAATTTAGAACAACAGAATAATTTTGGACTTGAATGAATCAAACTCGAATTCTAATCCAAAATTAACACGAACCCAACCTGAATTCTAACTTAAAATTTACCTGAATTACGTAACTTAAAATTCACCCAAGTTCGATCGAATTAAACTTGGGTAATACTCAGTTTGAGTACTTCGAGTTGAAGTCAAGTTAAAGTTAGGGTTAGATTAAAAATTATATATTTAAGGTTGGACTAGAGTTGATCCCTCAACCCGCCCAACCCACCTAAGTTGCACCCCTACCTCTAGATGGACCGGAATGCCACGAGAGCATCACATCTTTGAATAAGAAAATTGTCACGAATCCCACATCGATTAAGGTGGGGACTCTAAATTAATGGGCCGACATGAACTCAACAACCTGAAAGTGACACTTTCTTGGCAATGGGTCTTCTATTTCCTAAATAATTAATAAGGCAAATTAATATTAACATAAATAATACATTAACATGAAACTCAACTGTGATGGGGCATGTAAGGGAGGCCGATGGAGTAATGTGGCAGTTGTTGTTGGAGCTTGTAGAAGAATAGTTTCTCTCTGCAACTTAAAACCATGGTGGCTTCTGCATCATTTCGTTTCAAGAGTACTATGTAGATCATTTTTTTTTTTGCCCTATGTTTTTGTTAACCATTTTCATGAAGATCTTATCTGACCCCCATTTCCACTGATATGATTGTTTCTGTTGTGTTTCATTTGCACTAATTGTACTGGAATTTCACTTAAATAGGATTCAAAAATTTGTGTTTGTCGTATCTTTCTGCACTAAGCCCCCCCCCCTTCCCTTTTCCCTTTTCTTTTCCCATATCTTCTCGTGATGTATGTTTTAGAACAAATTTGTCAGTAGTATGAGCTTCCAAAGCTCTCTCTCATTTGAAATTATTGTAGGTGATCTACTATTGAGTAAAATTAAGAAAAAATGGACTAGAAAAAATCTAATTTCATTAAGATACACTTATGTTAGCCAAAGGCTGGTAGAGTACAACCATAATAAACAGAGGAGTTTGTATGAGAGAAAGGATTACATGACTTGTTGATAGCCTCACAAACTAGCTTTATGAAACCTGTTGACAGCCTCATGGAAACCCCAAAACTCAGCTGTAACGCTGGTAACAAAGGCTGCAAGTTTCTGGTCCCCATTCTGAATAGTTTGTATGTTAGCTAGCTTTAACTCCATCAACTATAGTGTCTTCAACCAATTCCAATAGTATTCACCGGCCCGTTTCAAGGACGAATCTAGGATTTTATTCTTGTAGAAGGCTAGATATATAGTTGGGGCGAACCTAATAATTTGTAAATATACTCAAAGCTATTTTTATAGCCTATTGAAGGGGATCCTTCAAACCCTTTTTGGGGGGAAGAGGATTGCCCCTGCCCGTCTCCTAGATCCATCATTGCAAAGAACATTTATCTTTATTTATCGGAGAGTCATGTATATGTTTGAAAACAGTTGCAGCATCTTTATCGCCGCGGCCGCTACAATTAACTACAACCTTTGCGCCATTGGGCAAGGTAGGGCAAAGTTTCTCCAGAAATGCCAGTGCATGAGAGGCCTCCAAGGCTGGAAATATTCCTTCTAATCTGCAGAGTCTTTCATATGCTGCAGGAAATAGAAAAATCGCACTGGATGGTCAAATTTTAATGAATCCATAACTCTACAACTCAACAAAGCCTCGTCCCAATGTTTTTGGGGTCGGCTTGTCAAATTTTAATTAATAAATATGTAAAATTGCTTCTCTTTCTTGTAATAATAACTACATGTTGTTTGTTTACCATCTAGAGCTTCTTGGTCTGTGATTGTGTAGAAGTCTGCACGCCCAATGTCTTTGAGAAAGCTTAATTCTGGACTAACACCCGGATACTCCAACCTGCGTGTATAAGCAATTTGTCTTTTTAAAGCAATTCTTACCATCATAAACGTTGTGTTGTTGTTATTGTCTCCACCCCCAGCCATACCTAGGTGTCCCAAAGTCCCCATGTACCTCTCATACTACCCCTAGAGGTGCAATGAACTAACTGAGCCGAGCACCACGCTAGTCGTGCTCAGTTCAGTCTTTTGGGGAGATTATAGGGATATGGGGTGAGTTGTAAACATCTTATTTAATGTTAACATGATATTTTTTTATTTAAATTGGGGCTCAACTTGACAGGATTTGGTTGATTTTACAAGAATTGAGTTCGGGCTTAAACTTGGGTTGAAGCTCGTGTTTAAGATTGAGCCCTTTTCATAAATAAATTCTATTCATATGTAACCGAGACATTTAATATTATATACATATAACAGCTAATGTAAATGCTTGTATTATGCTGCATTCTACATAAGTATGGTCTTTTGGGGCCCTACTCTATCCACCCCATTGCTTCCCAAGGGGCTTGAAT